AAAAACTAATGTACCCAAAACCAAATCCACAAAATGTTCGAAACGGGAAAACCAACTCATAATTCATAACACTCATGAGCAACGGTTCGAAACATACAAACGAGACTTACACCGACTTTGGAATGAAACATATCGATCAACACCAATCATTCACACAAGACTAATCGTTGGTAACAGAAACAACAGAACGTTAGCACGAGAGATCATATGCCATCAACCGAAACGACCATGACAATAAGCCCAGAAATTGACATCACCCAGACCTACATTTCAAGCATCGTACACTTTTCTGTATATATTATTTCTAATAAACTGTTCACATCGGTATGCACTTTCTCACATATCTCAAACATTAACATAAAACCTATATCTTAAACGAAACGTATCTTCAGAACTTCACCTATACAACAAAGCCCGAGACTCTGCATAGCACCTCTGAGTATCCTATAAAAAACACAACCGACAGCCAAACTGGCAAGCATGGTTGCTAAGTCAAAACTACCTGATGAGACTGCCTAAGCAACAGTCGAAACGCGTCGTAGAATGCTTGACTCACCCTCACACTCAAACACTGCTTTACAATCTCCTCATGGTTTATATAACTTTTCATTCCATATTATAATTTTGATGCTTTGCAATGAAATAACGATATTAGATCCAAATTTAGAGTTTTAAGCCGTTTGATAACGAACTTTAGCAGGTTCGAAACCGTTCATGGCAGTTTCTACCCTTCGAATGTTTCAAATTGAAAAGTTTTGAATTTACAGTTTTGGAGCTGTTTTGGCTTTGAAAATGTGAATTTTGATTTTTAACAGCGAAATTGTTCGTTTGAAATGATTTTTAAGGATTAGATTTGATTTTTGTTGAATTTGATCACTAGAAATAGTTTTTTATGAATAGATGCCATTTGATAAGTCTCTAACAAAGACGAAACTAGTCATGACAGCCTGCACTCACACACCATAGCTTATGCAGTCTACAGCCATCTGATGATTCCTTTAGCTGAGATGAAAACGCGATAATGGCAAGCTTTGACTCACACACCCACACCCTAATTATGATAACTGAGAAATTAGCTTCCTACTGTTTTTTCTTTATTTTCCATCCAGCAATGACACTTTGAATAAATCAGAAACAAATCATATGATCAGTTAAAAGGTCTTATCGGAAAAAGTACACAGGTTCCTCTAAGTAGGTGCATTTATCAATCATATTCATCCCTTAAGTTAACTTAATAAGAATATTTGGTATTGGATCAATGCTAAGTTTTTCGTATGGATATAAGGTACAATTTTTTTTCTTCCAAATCCAGGTATTTGGGTCTATCTCGGACAGTATTTTTCCACCCATCTTCAGATATATATGACGTGTCACCGGATTAGTAGTTTGCACAACTGCGTACTGAAATTCTTTGGCTTTCCGTGCGTGATCCATTGCCACTGCACGCAGCCGAGTAGCCACACCTATATGACCATGATCGGCTCGCGTGGCACCCATCCCAATGTGCAAGACCATATTAGGCTTAAGTTCTTGGTCAAAATCATGACGAATAAATATATCTTCCATTTCATCCAATATATCAATGATTGGAGTCAATGCTGGTGCCCCTGAAGCGTCATACGGGTGGTTCTTGTGTCTAAGATAGAGATCAGTAGCAATGATAGCCGCGACGATGTTACCCGAGGGCCGATGCCGTGCAAGAAATGATAATCCTTCGACGAACGCATGTTTCATCCATGGCCATGATATCTGGTCAAAAAAAAGCTTCGATGAAATTTTGTCAAAACGAGTGATAGGCTCGTGTACGACAAACTCATCAGCTAATAGTTGAGCACAAATACGAGCATCTGTTTCGTCGTTGATCAATTCATACACATACTCTTCGTTGCCAATCATATCGTAAATCTAGAAAATAAATGCGAAAATCTTGACTGAAATTTGATTATTATTTATAATCTGCCTTCCATATTAGAAGACCACCCATGTAAAAAAAAAGAGTTGAAGAAATCAGTTTTTTTCGAAGACCAATGGGAAATTTATTTACACGGCAAGGTTTTTGACGGCTAAGTAATCAATTAACTTGAATATGTCGTATGGTATCATTTTTGCGAAGATGGTTTTGAGTAAAAAAAGAGAAAGCTGCATTAGCAAAGTTACCTACTGCAATGTTAGCTTCATATTCGAGCAAGGAAAGGGACATCAGCGAAAGAGAACGAAAAGAGAGAAGAATGGAGAAAAAGTCACCTTCGGGTGGCTCGAACCCACACCTTCTGCTATCCGCGCAGATGTCCTAAGCCAATTAGACTATAAGGACTATCTTAATCTACAGTTTAGCGTTGTGTGACTCACACAAACGTTAACATGCAATAATTCAATAATAGTGAAAAGTAAGAGTACAAAAGGTAAAATAATGAAAAAGTTAATCTTTGTTCATTAAATTACTAGAAACTACTATAACGGATCTTGATGGAAGATACGTATATCGTGATGGAACCACGTGGATCTTTATTTTTCCTATCATAAATGCCATCGTTCTGATACAAAACATTCGTTTATATACTCGTCCTTAGATGAAAAGGAAAGAGAACATTGTGCCAAAGTGCATCGATATGTATCTGCGAAGTAAGGACATAAGTAGGATAATCCATTAGCAGAGAAAAATCGAAAGGATAGACAGCATGCGTGCAACGCATGATATCGAAGCTTCACAACTACATATAAGGGATTTTTCATACGTGATAATTATTCATACATGACGATTAGCAATCAGTACGGATGCGTTTGTACAGACCAAAGATGTTGTGCGTTCGTCCGGTAGTTATCTGAGATCTCTGTTTGTTACGGACTTCATCCATGATTCTTCTCCCCATCGACATACTTTACTTCTCTTCTATTCTATCCACATATATACGTGTCGTTTTCTATGTATGAGTGTGTGTTCTACCTCCATAAAGTGAGACACATCACACTATTTTTGAAAACAAAATAGAGTTTTAATTTTATCTATACATTTACACAGGACTTTCCAAGATTATGGAACCCTTTTGTACTTGGATTTTGTCGATGAAGATGAGTTTCTGGATGAAATGTAAACAGTGATTTGGATAGCCCTGACATTCCTCTATTGATTGCAGTACATTACAAAATCCAAGGCACATCTTCGTCCGCAAATGTTACCCAAATAGGAAAACCGGTGGTTTTGAGCTTCGAAAAGGTTTATCACGCCTCACTTCTGATGGTACCGTAGGATAGAGGTCAAAATTCTGAGCAAAACAAGTGGTTGCGCGATTTTCTACGGTCTTCCTGTAGGACGCTGTGAGTACGTCGTAACTAGACAAAATCGTAAAAATCATCAAAATTAGGGGTGACACTTTAACTTTAATAAAGTTTAAAGTTACTTTAACTTTAATTAAAGAAATTTTAAAGTTGTAATTATTATCCAAAACCACATAAAATTAAACAGGGCGGGCTAAAAATATTTTCGATTTTTTATTGTACTTTAATTAAAGTTAAAGTAATAAAGTGAAATATTTTAACTTTAAATTTAAAGTTGAAGTAAAAACTTTAAACTTTAAGCACTTTATAAAGTAAAGTTAAAGTTAAAGTGCCACCCCTAGTCAGATGGATTTGATGTATCGCGGATGCAGTGTGTTTCATGATAAGGATCACGATTGTTCGGTTGTATCCAGCGTATACGAGCTACCATGACCGGTTTTTGTTGCTGTCTGACTCAAGCCATTCGTTTCTGTTTCCGTTTCGTATGTTTGAAAGAGATCCTCAAGATTTGCACTGTTCGAATATTATGTTTTAATTACTCTTAGGTTTCAGAAAGTGTAAAGGATCATGAAACAAGTACTGTTCTTGCACTATCAGTCGAAGAGAAACCGGCCGACTTTTCCAAGTCTGTGACAGACTTGTTTTCACCTCCATCATCTTATAAACTCCTACGAGGTTTAACTCAGGATGTTGTCTATACTCTTCTCATGACCTAAGTGATATATTTCTTCAATAGCTCACTTCTATAGCAGTATTTCATATAAAGTTGATGCAGAGGAAGTGAATCAACTTCGAAGATCACTTATTTAACGAAAGCTCTCAAAATACGCATACTGTTTTTATAGTCTTTCTTCTTTTTTTTATCGAATAAAATCAAACAAATAGATACAATCACGATAAGATAAAGAACAGTTTATGCACCGATGACTGACTATGTTGTTTGTGTGCTTCCATGTGTTAGATCAGATCTCTTGTTTCGATGTTTCCGCAGCTGATCTATCTGCTTCTTCTCTTGCCTCTTGTTCACCTTGTTCTGCTCGTTGTCTAGCATTGCCAACGTCGATCTAATATTTCAGAAACATAGACTTAACATCCACTTTCTTTTCATACTACTTCTCTCTTACCCATTGCCATGGAAGTTCTTCTTCCATATAAACATTGATGTACCAATCAATGCAATCCTCCAATAATCGAGGATTATTTAGCCTCGGATTTGGAGGTGTTAATCCAAAGTATCGCCGATACATTGGTGTATAAACAAATTGGCTACGAGGTGTCGCCAATGGAATTTCATCCTATAGGATAATAACATCAAAAAAGTTCTCTTATCAAATATCTATGCTCGTTCAAAGCTGTCCTTACCTCTGGTCCTGTTTGTTGCTATCGTCCATCATCATCAGGTCTGCTACTGCCTGTTGGTCTTAGACCTGACGACGCGAGTTTTGGTTCAGGTGATGTTGAAGTCTTTTGTGGTACTTCTTCATGACGTTTCAAGTCAGAAGAAGACCGAGTGACGACGGCTTCCCGTGATAATGATTGAAAATCATCAGCATCATTATCATCAGATAGTATTCTGACAATAGGCCGTCTTTTACCTTTTGATGGCATAATACCATCAAGAAGTCGTTTCATCAACGGCTTCTGTTCGACCGGTTTCTTGCGACTCGGCATATCTAGCGACGAGAGTGCTTGTATTATACTTAAATCTAGAGTATAAAACAAAAATATAATATATCTCTATGCTCTACATTAATATAAGAGTAAACCCCCCGACATAATAAAAGACCCTCTCAAATTAGAAGACTCCCCTGATTATAAGACCCCTCTTGCTAAAAAGTTCGAAAGATATATTAGAAGACCCCCTTTTTTCGAGAATTTTGATATATATTATGGAAAAATCCATTAAAACGTGCTTCTTTCTTCTATAAGATATTTTTGCATTGTTTGCGCGTTGTTTTACGTATGTAGAGAATATTCGAGCCGACCGAAATGTTCTTTCCTTTCTCGTCCATGTTTATATACATATATGGACTGCTTTTACTGTATATTCATCTTTCTACATCTCTCAGCAAGTGGATACTGCGATAGTGACGAATGAAAAAAGTATCTCTACCCAAATGTTTGTTTTTATAATAGAAAAGAAAGAGAAAAAGATAGTAACTTTTTCGTTCTCTCTATTAGCCCACGAACGGCTATATAAACCACGAATTCGATACACATATTCGAAAATAATCGATCATATCGATTCACCACAATAATACTTATTCAATGTCGCTGGTTGACTATATCGATTCAGGTGATGATCAAAATTCTATCGAAGTCGTTTCGAATTATGATGAAAAAGATAATGATCTTATTGATATGACGAAAAACTTAATGTTTACTTCTGATGGTGATTCAGATAGTAATAGTGATTCAGGTTTTGATGGTAAACCGATTAATGGTATTGGTGGTGAAGATGCTAATATTCGTTCAACAAGAACCATTATTGATATTCATCATGTAGTACCTATCGATAATGAAATTCATTCTTCATCGAAATCAGATCATAGTAATATATCCAATATTCGCAAGAATACGAAAGATTTGAAACGTAAACGTCGTTGTTGGTCAGTTGAAAAGAAACTAGAAATCCTACACGAATTGAAATCGAATCGAAATAAACGTGGCACAGCTTCAGCAAATGATTGTTCACCTGCTCAACTTCGAAAATGGTTATTGAATGAGAATAAATTAGTTGCCATACTCAAATCAAAAAATGGTGAGTTTTCAATCTGTTTGATTAATTCGACAGAAATTTCATCGAGTATTGATAAAATGAGATAATTGACTATAACATACTAATA